CCAATGGAGATTAGGCTCAGAGGGTGACCACCTACCCAGGCTCCGCTTCTGTGGCGTGTGCAGTTGGATGGGGCCCAGGATAACATCCACCTTCTCCTGGTAGGCACCCAGGTCTCTCTTGGATCTCACCACACAGCCCCTGGCGCACCGGGAGGAGGGGTCGTAGGCCTTGCACACCACCATCTGGCACCGCAGGTACACTGAGGGGTAGCGGTTCACGAAGTGGAAGGACCTGAATCTGAAGCGGGCCTTGTGTGGGGAGGGCGAGTAGTAGGAGTAATAGGTTTCATCTTTGGCACACCTGGGAGAAGAGAGAGGCGGCCATCAGCTCGCACCAACGACTGCCCAGCCCACCCGCTGCCCAGGCCTCATGTGCTGCCCGCTCGTCTCCCCTAGGAAGGCACAGCCCATCCGCTGTTAGTCACATGGACATCCTGACTCTTGTTCTATGGAGGGCAACCTGGCCTGAGTCCCAATGATGCCAGCCTGGGCCTCGCTACCTCTATGCCTTCTGAGCTTGACCAGAACTGTGGACCTGCGAATGACTGCGCTCAGGGTGATGATGGTCGAGATGACCTCCCGCCCCACTCTGGGTTAGACATTCTGGGGAGCCCACCTGCTGGGCACAGTGTCCAGCTGCCAGCTGCTTCATCCCCTTTAATCCTCCCAACGACCTTATGAGGTGGGCATCACCACCCCCATTTGACAGATGACAAAATGTGACTCAGAGTCCATGGCACGAGCATGCAGCAGAGCTGGCCTTGCCAACGCGGTATGCCCAACTCCAAGACCGGTGCCTTCACCTCCCCACACACAGCTGTCCACTCAACGCTATGGCGTGCTTGGGCTTCAGTGCGGTGGGATCGAATCGTGCTTTGACAGGTACTCTGCTGGGGACCACTGGAGAGTCCTCCAAGGCTCCAGACACCGGTTTCTCCAGTTGTTAACCAGAGATCACAGCAGAGACCAACCCCCAGTAACACAGGACACAACCCAAAAGAGCTTCCACCTTGCCGGGGAAGAGGACGTGGCTGAGACTGAGCTACTGAAACATCTGATTCACCAGAACCCTCAGACCTTTTGGTCTACCGATGTTTGTGCCACTGAAAAATGATCCAAGTTCATCTCACTAAGACACTCCTTACCCTCTCCGGACGAGGTCGTAAGTCAGAGATGTGAGGTTACTGGGATACGGTGACGCCACACAGGTGTCTACAAACAAGGCCAAGGAGGCATCCGAGTGCTCGATTTCAGCCTGAACGTACAGTTCCTGGTTCAAGTCCACGTAGTACGGGGAGCTGGTCACAGGATAGGAGAACGAGGGGGATGTATAAAAGGAGATGTTCACGTCGAAATTGCCATACTGTATTTCCTTGACCTCGATGGTGTCATTGGCAATGTACATGATGTCCACCCAGGTGTCCTGCAGCATCCTGCAGCTGACGTGGATGTGCAGGTCCTTCTTCCTTTTGATGACCCCACCCGAAATGGTGGCTTTGAGGAAGTTGGAGTAGGCGATGGTATCCTTGTCTACCTAGGAGAGGCAGGCAGGGCAGGAGAGTCAGGCCAGTGCCACCTGGGAAGCAATCCAACTGCAAGTGGGGGTGGGACAAAAGGGAGGGCTCGACAACACTCCCCAACGCCTCCCAGCTCCAAACAAAGATGGCGCAGGCCTACTGTCATGGCTCGTTACTTACCCGCTGGGCGCCCAGTTTAACTAGCAAGACCCCCTTTTTCCCACGTCCCTCTTCCTCCCCTCACCAGGGAGACCACAGGGCAGGGCAGTTGTTGGCACAAAGGAGGTGCTCCTCCTGGTGGCAAGATGGGTAAATCCATTGAATCCCTTATTGTGCCTTCTAACTAGGCTGAGTTTGACTTCAAGGCTCTGAGTCTTTCTTGCTTGCTTCACCCCCACGGCGCTTGTGGGACCCTAGGGGAGGCAGCCCCATAGTTGGTGCTTGGTGGGGGCATGCTCACTGAGTGCTGTTTGCTGGATGAGAGCTAGGGCAGTTTGGTGGCTGACGTTTCAGGCATGGTGACCACAATGGGAGTGACAGCTGCTGCCCGTCTCTGGATCTCCAGGGCAGGGCCTTCTCTGAGACTCACACAGACACAGAGGGGCCGTGGTGCTGATGGGGTGTCCCACTCTACCTGCCCTTTCCCTCCCCGTGCCCTGGGTCATCTTCTGCTGTCTTTCACGGAACGATCGCAGTCAGGAACACTGTTCTCTCATGCCATGGGCTGTGCCCTTTGGGGAGATGAGACCTTACACCTGGTGGCTGCTGAGCGTCTTGTGAGAAGATGATATTGAAATCTCTCTCTTCTCCTAGAGTTTGGCAAGGAGTCTGGAAGCAACAGTACCACCAAGTGTGTCAAGGGAGCTGAATCAAAGGTCCAGGGGCCAGAAGGGAGGAGGGGCAGGCAGCAGCCCATCCAACTGACCAAGAGGACCCAGGTTTCCAAAAAAGGGCCCTGCAGGTTCCTGTTTGAGGATCACCTGGCCTACAGGTGCGGGAAGACCAAGTGAGGCTTTGCGGTGCCCCCGAAGCAGTGTGGTGAGAAGGGACTTCTCCGGCCTAGTTCTGAGTCCTAGAGTACTGCGGTGCTTTTGCAAGAACAAACAACAAAAGGACAGCACATGGTCCCAATGGTGGTGGTGGTAGAAGCCCCTGACCTTATGTGCAGTCTTAGAGATGCCAGAAGCACCCGTCTATCAAGGTGTTGCTCTGTTGCGGTGATGCTCAGTGACCATGGGGGACATGGGAGAGCTTGCAGATGGACAGATGAGGAAGCAGGGCCGCACGAGCTGTACTGGAACTTAGCTGATGGGAACTCGATGGATAACTCCCAAACTCACTGCCGAACTGATGCAGACCCAGAGTGCCCCTAGAGGATGGGTAGGCAGCCCCTGTGAGCTGCAAGCCTGACTGTGGACAGGAGTATAAAGCCTCATCTTTTTCCCATGGAGCAGCTGGTGATCAAACTGCTGACCTGGTGGTGGGCCACCCAACTCATAACCACAGGGCTCTCATAACCCAACTCATAACAGCAGGGCTCTCACAGAGAGCAGGAGAATGGCCTAAATGAACCCCAAACCCGATGCAATTCGCGCTTCCTCAGACTGTACATCCTCACAGAAGTTGACTGTCACCTCTCTGTCCTACAAGTGGCTGGTGGATCAAACTATCGCCCTCGAGTTGGCCACCCAACGCCTAACTCACAATGGTTCCAGATCCCCTTGCAGCAGAAATAGAAGCCCTACAATGTCGACCCAGGTAACGCTTCCCAAAGTTTGTGATGTATCCTGTTCAGAGCAAAACTCTGTCCCAGATCTTCTGGATGTTAGAGAAATGTCCTTCATAAGTGAGAACATGTCCCACTTAAATCTAGTGATTTTCCAGAATGGAATATTCCAGGGGACTTCCATCTCTTGTTGGAGATTATGGAACTCTACTTTAAATATATCCCTTCCAGACAAAACATTTGAGAATAAGCAACTTAACAAGAAACGTGAAGTGCTCTTCCACCTCTTGGACCCTTTCCTCCTCTGTCCCATCCCAGTTTCCGTCTTCCACCCATACAGACAAGGGCCTGGGACAGGGGACAGCCTGACCTGCAGGGGGAGGCCGAGCCCACACTTAAGACCCGGGTCTGGGCAAGCACCACGCGCAGACTCTGTGCTCCTCACTTAGTCAGAGATATGACATGGGTGCCTTTAAATGTCCTAAACAGAAATTTTCACATGATCATTGAGCTCATATGTCATTGCAATACGCCCTGTTCGTGGTGTCACGTTGTCCCTCACTCATTCAATTCACCTGCTTGTGAACATGAACATAGTCATACAATCCACCCTGGGTTCTAGGGAAAAAAAACAACTTCACACCAGACTCACTGCTATCGAGTCCACTCTGACTCCCGGTGACGCTCTGGTCCCCGGGGGAGAGTTAACATCTAAGCTCGCTGCCAGCAAGGCACAGAGTTTATGTATGTTGAGCCATCAGAAACAGTTCTCGTTTTAGATTAAAACGGATGATTAGAAATCTGAATGGCTTGGAAGGAAATCGGCTCAGTACACATCGGAAGGTCTTCCAGACATTTCCATAGACAGAGACTCCACCTGTCCCACTGGGAGCCTCTCAGGTGGAGGGTGGCATCACCTTTCAGCCTCACCAGCAAACATGGCCAGATAACCCCCCTGGCAGAGTGGAGAACACCCCTGGGCTCCCCGGCCTTCCTTCTGAATCCTGCCTCCAGGAGGCATGTCTCCATGGCCCTGGGCCTTTTGTTCGCCTCGGTACTCATGCTGAAAGATCACTGCAACTGGGCCTTTCCCTCTCTCCCTCTTCTTGGTTTTATGCATTTATTTTTGCTTCTCTCCCGCCTTTCTCTTTCCTCTCTTCCTCTCCTCCTTTCCCTCTTTTCGCTCCTTTGGTTTTGTGCCTGGCATGAGAATGATTACCAAAGCAAAGCAGTTGCTGACCAGATGATTCTGACTCAAGGTGACCCCGGGGTTGCCACCTAGACCTGGGCTCCGTAGGGTTTTCCTGATTGGGACCTTTGGGGAGCAGATCACCAGGCTTTGATTCTAAGGCATCTCTGCAGTAGTGCTAATAATCCTACTGTCTATCCTATGGCTGTGCTGGGGACAGTGTGGGACTGCAGCGGTCAGGACGGCATTGGCTCTGACCTTGAGGCATTCCATCCTTATGAGAATCGTGAAGGTTAGATAGGTGTGCACTCTTCTGCTGCCCCGGCAGCTGCAATGTCTACTGCTGAGATGCATGGTGGACTGCCCAGCTCCCTCTTGGCTGGACAGTCCTGAGGAAACCCTGTCTGCTGGGCTTCCTTCCTCCAGACCAGGTCAGAAACCCTCCTCCTCCTCCTCCTATCTGTCATGGCCACAGCCAGGTCGTGGCCCCAAGGACAGGTGGACAGCTTTCCACTCATTGGAAGCGCCAGGGGATGTGACGAACCACTCGCTGAACGGGAGGTTATTGGAACCCATCAGCTGCTTGCAGGAGACAATCGAGATGACAGCCTTGGTATCTCTAAACCTGTCGAAGCCACTGCTCTCAAGTGGCTCATCAGAATTATTGGGCTTATTTTTCCCACCGCCTCTGATAACTGATTTTATGTCATGTGACAATGTAAGTTTTGTTGATATCAATAAGTCTGGTTCTATATACTTCTTCCACGGTATGTAGTTTCCTATGTAAAGATGCCTTATATATCTGCTGTTGGTAATGTAATAATCGATGAGTCTACACTCAGTGCCACGCTTCTCATTGTACACTGCATACATGCCTTGACCGTATTCTGCTTAGACGTCTCTGGAAACAGTGTTCTCATTTGAAAAAGCCGGTGGGGACATGGGTGCTGGTGCAAATAATCACAGATGGGAAACGTGTCCGGAGACTTGCTCAGTGCTCCAGATCATGCCGGAGACGTTGAAACGCCCTTGTCAATCCATCCGACGTCAATCCATGCCTCTCCTACAACCTCTCGTTTTCACAGGTAGGTTTTGTTTCACTGTTTTCAAAATTTTTCTGGCAGCAAAGTGTCCATGTCTTCACCAGTCAGACCTGCATGGAGCTGGCTGGATTCCAACCCAGAAAGCACTCGTGGACAGTGCTGCGAGAGGACAATTTTAGGTTGTTCCTCGCCCGTGTCCAGCGGGAAGAAGTTAATAAAAGGCGGAAACAAAGGGTCCCGCAGGGACACTAGCGTCCTCAGCTGTAGCCAGTGTCTCTCACCTGTCCTCCGTCTCCGCTGAGCTGAATGCGACACCTTGCGGAACCCTTTCCCCCTCTCGTCACCGTTCTGCTGGTGCCACAGCAAATCGGGGGGACGTGCAGGCTCCTTTCAGGCATAATCATTTATTTCTGTCCCTGACGTCTATGAGCACGGGATTCCTTTGTTCATGACCCCTCTGACTTTCTTCACCTTCTTGCGGGTCCGCATGTCTCCCTGCCCCCTCCTCTCTCTCGTCCTCCCCTGTCTGACTTTTGGCTCTTCTCTCAACTCCATCTTCCAATTTCCCCTCACCCTGCGCTCTCTACTCTCATTGCAATCTAAACACTCAGGTGGGTCGTTCACTAATGAGCCTAGTCATGGAAACCCCCACTTTGCCTCGGTTTCCCTTTGCTTCCCATTCTAACAGGAAGGAGTCTGGGAAGACCAAGGCATACCTGTTTGACGGTGCCGCAGCCCGAGTAGGGGATCGTGAACACCACCTCGCTGGCCGTTATCCGGGGTTGACATCGGTAGTTCCCGGCCCAGTTGGGGATGAAGATGTTCTGAGGCGAAAAGCCCAGGGACTGGAGGTAGCTCCTGCTCACGCTGGCTTGCATGTGATTGGGCAGACACAGCAGCTCTGAGGGACGGGGGCAGACAGTGCACTCAGTCAGGGTTTGGGCCTCCATGAGTCCGACTGGCGCATGTCCCATAGAAAGATGGGCAGGTCAAGATGGCTGACAAGCATGGCCTACTCTCGGGGTGAGTCATCAGGCCACACCTCCCCACAACCCAAGGTGCCGGATGGCTCAAGTCAGGCCCATCCTTATGGCATCTCCAGGAGGGAACGCAGGCTCTCTCTGAGGGGAAAATGGAGACAGGCGGCCACTGAGGGAAATGTCTCTTCAAGTGACCAGGGCACCGTTAAGTGAAGGAACATGAGAGTGGAATTGTGGGAGGAGGCTGAGAGACAAGTCGGCAGTGGGCACCTTCAGGCACCAGCGCCATGTGTGTAAAACACTTCCAGTTTCTGAGAACACCCTTTCACATCTGTGCTTTGTCTCTTGGGCTGGGGTGAGGCCAGGACACCTCCCCTCCGCCTCTTCTGGTTCATGACCGCCTTTCAAGGCTGACAGACTCCAAGACCCACTGTCCCTCTTGAGACCTGACAAGGTCCCTGGAGTGTCTTCCTTTCCGGCCTGACAGCAGGACCTGCGATACCCGGGGGACTTACTGGTGCTGTCGTTGGAAGGACTGGAGTAGTAGTCCGCCCGGAAGCCTCGCCTGGTGATGCTGCCATCACTGACGAAGCGGACAGACATGAAGTTCGATGACGACGTGAAGGACCCACCGCCATCACACACCCGCGCGATGAGAGGGGAACTGTGGTAGGGGCCGTCGAAGACTTCGATGTAATCGAAATTACAGCCACCTTCCAGCCTGTGGGGACAGAGCACGTGTGACCTTTATGTCGGCTCCGGTTGGATGCTGAGCCTCAAGTCTCAAGGAGGGCATCAGAGAGAACCCAGACAGGTTGATGAATGATGAGAATAATGCCTCACACACCAAACCTGCGGCCATTGAGTGGATGCTGACTTAGGTGGCCCCATGGGTGTTAGACTGGAGCTACAGCCCCACGTGGTTTTCAATGGTTCTGACCTTTCAGAAGCATGGCGCCAACTTTTTTCTCCCAAGGTATCTCTGAAAAGATTTGAACCTCCAACCTTTCAGTTAGTACCAGGCACTTGACCATTGGCACCACCTACATAATTTCCAAACCCCACAAACTCACTGCCATCGGGCCCATTCGAACTCATAGCCCCCTCTAAGTCAGAGCAGGACCGCCTCTGGGTGTTAGAGACGGTAGCTGTTGATGAGAGTAGAAAGCCTCATCTTTGTCCTGTGGGAAAGCTGGTGGTTTTGAACTGCCCGCCCTGCCGTTTAACCGCCCAGTGTGCAGCCACCGTGTCCTCAAACCGAGCGAAGGCGCCCCTGCCCACGGCCTGCACCCCTGCCTCGTGGGTGACACGTATGAAATGGACAGTCCTTTACCATCATTTATGAAAACACCACACAGCTTCTCCCGGGGTTTGCCAACCGCCCCCTTCCCCAGAGAGGCATTTCTGTCAGCCTTGCCGTGGCCATGGTTTCACACGGCGCTGTGCATAAAGGGCGAGAGGGAAAATGAAAATGAACATAGCACGTCTACAGAGAGACCGGCCCTTGGTTGGTAAATGTAAAAGGCACCTACTATTTGTGTCACACAAAAAATATGGGGCATCCTGAGGGGAAAGGGCCACAGGCTGCCTTCAATCAAAAAGACCCAGCTCCCACAGGGAAAAAATGAATATTCATGAGTTCCTAGGGATGGGCCTAACTGGTGGAAGGTGTATTAGTCAATTCACGGAACCTCTCTAAGACTCCCGTTTCTTATTTACAAACACCTCATACGCCAATCTATGCCGCTACCAAGAGAGCTAGTGCAAGACTCGAATGGAATGATGCATGGCGTGGTAGGAAGAATAAAATCATAACAATAATAACAGCTGCTGTGCAGCTGCTCCCAGCTCACGGCGATCCCCCGAGTGTCGCGGTAGAACTGTGCTCCACCGGTTTCAGCAGCTGGTGTTTCACCGGGAGATCACCAGGCCTTGCTTCGGATGGGCTCCTGGATGGGTGGACTCTCCAGCTCTCTGGTTAGCGGCTGAGACAGGAACTGTTTGTGCTCCCCTCAAAGGGTCCCCTGGGTGGGGCTGTTTGCACTTCCCTCTGTGCTTGCTGTTGTTTGGATGCTGCTCCCAGAGCCACCTGGGGCAGCCTCCCTCCAGAGGGTGTTAGGGCCATCCCCTACCCCCCAATCCAAAATTATGGTAACAGCCAGGAGATGAGCCCAGCAGTTCATCTTTCCCCAAACCCCACAAGCATGTCCAAGGCAGAGATACCCAGAGCCCTGCAACTGCACCTGGAGAGAAACCATTTCCTCCGCAGAGGCTGTGCATGAGATGACCACATGCTGCCCTGTGGCCACGTCCTAGTGCCTGTCTGTGGGCACCAGGGCCACACACACCCGGATAAATCACTTCTCAATGTGCTTTCAGCCATGTCCCACAGCTTAGAGCAACGATCCCCGCTGCTTCATCAGATCATGAAACAGCGTCTCCGGATGGAGGAAACCTGAACTCAGCGATTTCTGCATCTCTCGACGGACAAAAGGAGGAAGTGGGGAAAGGGTTAACAGAACTGCGGTGCTTGTTAATAGGATTATTTGCAAAGTCTGAATCCTAAGAAAATCCCTCCCACAGGATAACATTTTTATCTCTCGTGACCCTCTCAGTAACCCAGTGTGGTGAGGTCAATAAACGAAAGCCACACATCCACAGCCATCGAGTCCACACTGGCTCACAGCGCCCCCAGAGGACAGAGTGGAACTGCGCCATCAGGGTCTCATCTTTATGGGAGAGCCCTAGTGGTACCTTGGTCAAGCGTTGGGATGCTAACTACAAGGTCAGTCATTCAACCACCCCCTCCGTGGGAGAAAGATGAGGCTATCTGCTCACAGAGAGACTGACAGTCTTGGGGACCACACGGAGAAGTTTTAGTCTACCCTGTAGAGTCGACAAGGGGCTCTGTTGGTGCTCTAGGTTGGCCTTGGGCTGCTAACAAGGTCAGTGGTTCAAATCCTCCAGCGTCTCTGAGAGGGAAAGAAGAGGATGTCTGCTCTCATAATGATGGATAGCCTCAGACTCCTATATTGGGTTCCTATGAGTCAAAGTCCATTCAGTGGCAGTAGGGACTCAATAGCCGCGTCTTTGGTTTTAATCTTTACAGAAGAAGCAGGCTGTCATATCATTCCCTGACGGAGCAGCTGATAGATTTGAACCAGTGACATTGCCATGAGCCCAATGCCTCACCCAAAATGCCACCAGGGGTCCTTTGAGGCACAGAGAAATCCAGTGACTTCCTGTGACCCCACAGATGAGTGATGGTGCTGGGACTTGTCCCCCCCCACCCCATCCCATCCCCATGGGCTGCCCCATACTAAGTTCACAAAATAGAAAATCCCAACCAGGCAACTGTGTCCCAGCAAGTTCCCTGGGCCATCGACTCCCTTTCTAAGTGCCCACGTGACCTCCATGCGTCTGCCCTGAGTCAGCACACTTACTGGATGTCTCTGAAGATGATGGTCACACGGTCGTTGTTCTGGACTTCGATGTCCCACGTACACCTGGCATTGTTCGGATAGTTCCCAGGATAGAACGGGCTGGAAAACTGCCCCGACGGGTGGGAAAGGAAGCCTCCACAGGAATAATTTGCTGTCGGTACAAAATGGAGTCACCCATGAGACCAACTGCACAGGCCCTCGGGGAAGCTTTCTCTGAACAGTTTCTAAGACATAAAAGCAGCAGAAATGAAGGGTGCCTGGTTCAAGACCTTAAAGGGTCTTTTGTGAGGGAGGTGGGGCAGGGATGGGGTGGGGCACCCCCCCATCCTCATTATTTTCCCTCCATGGTAGCATCATCCCTGAGGGGGCGGGAGAGGGCATTTCCAGGGCTCTCCTTCTGCACACCGGCAAGGGGACTCAGAACTTACTGGATGGGCCAGTGGTGTTGTGAACAGGAGCTGTTGGCAAAGATAAAACAGACTGGTCAGCAAAGAGGGAGCCCTGTTGTAAACTCCAGACCCAAACTCACTGCCGAATCAGAGTAGCCCTATAGGACAGGGTCGAACTGCTTCTGGGTTTCCAAGACTGACTCTTTACAGGAGTCGAAAGCCTTGTCTTTCCTCCCTCTGAGTGGCTGTTGGTGTCAAACTGTCAACCTGGTGGTTCGCAGCCCCCTGCACCACCACTTCCTGTGTAGGTGGAAGACGTATGCATGTGGAGTCTGTCTTCTTCCTGTTCAGTAGTTTGGCAAATCTAAAACTGCTCTGCAAAAGTAAAATCTACCTGGATATTGGCGATGATTGGTCTTAAGTGATGAAATTATATTCATGACAAATCTTGAATTGGCAAAAAATTAGGTTACGTATGTCTTTTATAGCACAAGGAGGTCTATTGGGAATCACGATCCATTGTTCTCCATCCATTTGACACAAGTTTGAGCTCATTCTTGCTCTGTGCCAGGTGCTGTGGTCGTCTGGATTGACAGAGGTCAACTGGGTCCATGCCTCCCTACCGGGAAGATCAGAGCTTGGACAGAGGCCATGCATCCCATGCAGTGGGATGAGGCTTGAAGAGAAGTAGGGAAGAGGAAAGGGAAGAGGAAAGGGAAGAGGAAAGGGAAGAGGAAAGGGAAGAGGAAAGGGAAGAGGGAAGCCTGAGGGTTAGCTCCTGGCCCAGACTGGGTGCAGAGGAGTGAGCAGGTAAGCAAGAAGGGCCTAGGTAGCAAAAACATTCCAGGAGGAGGAAGAAGCGGGTGCAAAGGGAGCAACTCGGGCATGAGAGTACCTGGCCCAGGTGGATGGAACCGTGAGGAGATGCAGAGATGGGGCTCTGTTGGAGGTCGGGGAGGGGCCTGTGCTATGGCTAGGCCTCTCAACCTGCTCGGGCTGATTTCCCTCTCTGCTGAGAATTTGCATTTCCACCCCAGATTTGCTGAATCCCAATCTGGATTGAAGCAAGGACTCCAGGTGTTTCTCGTGTGCGCAAAAAATTCAGATGTAAACCTGGGGATCTGGAAGAATCCCTTCAGGACCTGGTTAAACTAGATCCCTTCGTCGTCTCTCTGGCTGGAATGGAAAGGCCAATCCTTAACAGGGACTCGAACCTGAATGGACCAGCTGGGAGCTCTGGCTCAGATGCAGTCAGGATGACCTTTATATTGCGTAAAGGTGACTCTGGATGGTAGGAGGGCCACGTGTGGGAGCCACAGTGGGAGGGAAGTGGAGGCGGGTGGAGTAAGGGCTGTCAGGAGAAGGAGGGTGCTGGAAATCCTCCATGGAGGAGGACAGGAACTCGACAGGAGTCGTTCTGTGCTGCCCTGAAGCAGGCCCCTGTTGGCCTTCCCAGCCCAGGCCATGCTGTCCTGGAGAGTAGGAGGGTCCTACACCAGCGGCAGCCCCTCCTTGAACTCTAGCCTGCTGACCAGGCTTCTGAAGAGAGGTGAGTGTTCCCCGAGATGCTCAAGAAACAGAGCCCAAGAGAGACCCAGGTTCTCCCCCCGGGTTGGGACAGGGCTGCAGGATGACTCACCTGCCCTCAGGGAGGCCACGCTGGCCAGTTTCTCCAAGAGTGAGCTGCCCACCCTGAGCCGCCCGAAGGGGGTTGGAAATCTTGGTACTTACCAGGCGTGGTTCCGCTGATCCCTGCAAAGGGAGAAAAGCAAAATGTCTCTGTCGCAGAAGTGTAGCCAAAAACAAGTGTGTCCTGAAGATCAGCGGGACACACCCGTGTGACTCACAACCTGGCCACGCGGGCCACCAAGAGGAGACTTCACTGGGTCCCCCCCACTCCTGTGCCCTGTCGTTATTCCAGAGCCATCAGCACGACTGTCCGGCCTACCGTGGTGGCTTTTTGTTGTCCCGTCACTTGGTAGTTCAAGTACCTGTGGGGTCACTCATGGCAGACAGGTTTGAGCGAATTTCCGGACTAGAACAGATGAGGAAGAAAGGCCTTCCCAATCTGCTCCCAAACACTAGCCAATGAAAACCCCCGGATCACAGCAGACCATTGTCCGACTGGACACAGCCACACCAGTGATTGTGGAAATGGCACAGGACCAGGTGATGCGTCACTCTGGGATACGTAAATCATCATAGGCTGAGGCAGCTCGCTGGCCGTGAACAACATTGGCACAGCGAAGCCCCTAACAACTATCTCCCCAGAACTGCTTGAAGGGTTAGACGCAGCCCCCGCTTACTCCTTTCAATTGCTGTGGGAAGCAAATACTGTCATCACATCTCCACGGAAGGACACTGATGCTTGGAGAGCCACCTCTAAAGGTTATCAAGCAAGGTGGGAGAGTAAGGGCACATAGTGGTCAGTGTGTGTCCAGACTGATGGGCATAGCCCAGAAACTGGCCAAAGATAAAGTGGCCCCTGCACAGCCTTCTAAAATGGACCAAGAGGGCTATGCTGACTACCTCCGGCCCACACCCAGCCCTGGACTGCACCCACCACCATGTTTTCATCTCATAGGAAGTGGGAGGTCAAGTGTGCCATGCCATGGTCTACCTGAGCAGATGACACCAGCGTCTTCCTGGTGACCGCAGTTATGGGTGAACCACCCTCTGTTTGGACACTGCCAGAGCGAAGACTCCCCCCCTGTGCACCGCACATCATCCAGGGTGATGGGGCCAGAGCCGGGGCCAAAATGGGCCCTGCCTGGGGCTGACACCGCACGTCCACAGCCCAGCTGTCTGCAGACCACCTGGGCATCCTGGAGGTCCCATTGATCGTCACAGACCGTTCCCCAGCGTCCATTGTGGTAGACCTCCACACGCCCAGAACAGCTGTTGTTGGGGGAGCTGGAATTGACCAGTCTCAACCTGGCATCTGAAAGACACAGGACGTAAGACGTCACGGCCACATCCACACGGAGTCTGCAAGGCCAACGAATACAGCCCTGACCCGATCCCCAGCAGCAGCAGTCAGGTAGTTCTCCTGCACGCTGTCAGGATGCTGGAAGCCACGCTGCCAGTGTTTCAAATGCCTGTAGGGCCACCCAGGGTGGATCGGCATCCACACAGTGTCCAGGCAGGGGCAGACGTGGGGGAAAGGCCTGCTGCCCTGTGCCAGTACATTAGAAAATGGAAAGCCGACCGATCCAACAGTCTGTCAGATAAGATGGTGCAAGATGGAGCAAAACTGCCCTGTTGTCCACGGCATCGCCGTGTGTCGGAGCTGACCAATAGCAACCAACAGCAACGAAGCCCTGAGACAGAGACGACGATGCTCTCCATGGTGAAGCCGGGATGGACCGTGCTGGGGCTTAGAAGCCTTTTATGCAGGGTCCCCCAAAGCTTATACTAGGCAACCCCAAAGCCAGGCTGCATCCCCTATTCTCTGAGCCACACTGCCTTGGCTAACGGCCTTCTCCCTCAGGAGCTTGCCGCCAGCAGTTATGATATAAGAGAATGGACAAGATGCCACTGGGTCTTCTGTGATTCCCCACGGAGACTGCCTCGGAAAGGCAAGAACCCCCACCCCCACCTGAGCCCCCGAGCGCCGTGTCTGGTTGGCACTTACCACTTGGAAAGGAGTTATACCAAGCAGAGAAGCCGGTGTTCTGAAAGCTGACGTCACTTCGAAATCGAACGGTCATTCGGTTCGAAGAAGATGTGAATATTTGGCCGGTTCCATTACAGATCTTGCCCAGCAAGTTACTGCTGTTGAGCAGCCCGTCAAAAACTTCCACGTAATCATAATTGCAGCTACTCTGGATCTCCAACCTGGACAGAAAGATGGGGGCCAAGGAGCCGAAGCCGCCGGCTGATATTGAAATTCCCACGGCTCCGATATTTTCTAGATGGGCTGGAGCTCCTGTGTGATGCTGTTAAACCTGAGGGATTCCACACCCCCAGGGATTCCACCCCACCCCCACACACACACGGGCACTTCCTTTCAAGCAAATCCACAGACTTCCAGTATTGCCTGATGCGTCCTGGTAGGGATCAAAGCAACGTCAGGCCGTGCTCCTGGGACCAGAGCAGAGGAAGCCCAGCCCCGGGAAGAGCTGAAATCACTGGATCTCTCAGGTGGGG